TCAAAGTTGTAGCAATTTTGAAAGAAGCAGTCAAGGGAGAAAATAGCGTGAAGGAGCCTAATTTTGACTCATTTCGACGAGTAGTCATTTTATCGATTCATAAGATACGCATGTGATTCGACGAAACGCAATTGATCGAGGCATTTTTTGAAAGTATTGCAGTGGAACTCTATGCAGTCCATTAAAATTTATAACTCTGAGAATTTATCCATTTGTTTAGAGTAAATATTTGTTTGTTTTTATAGTCACCAAAGGAAGTTCAACTGCTTTGGTTGGAACTGAATTAATGAATACAATTCATTCAATATATCACGTTTCACAACAACCATTAACTAATTAGCTCTCATTATAACAGCTAATAATATTGATTATTGCTGCGATTTTATGCAAATGTTTTTTTTTTGGAAGAAACTTCGTCAGCGCAGCATTTGTTCGCTAGAAGTATATGTTATCCAGTGCCTATTGCTTGCAGCGAAAGTCGGTCGCTAGTGTGTAGAGAGCGCATATTTAAGCACTTTTAAAGCAGTTAATAAGAGGAAGCAGATGTTCCCCAAGCTATTGAAACTATTCAGAGCTCTCTTCAGCCATCCCTTCGAATTTCTCTAACAATACGATTGAAATTCAACGAAGATTTTGAGCCGACGTTGAATCGAATGCACCGCGGTGTCCATTGAGCTCATCGCATTCTCAAAGCGACAAAAGCAAGATACAAATCATCATTGCCATACCCCATACTGCATGAAATAATGTCTGTCTTGAGAGTAGTTTTGGCTGACCTCAGTCAAAACATTAACTTGACCGTAAACGGGTTAATGCACATCGAAAATTACGCTCTAATNTCCAGAGCAACGCACAAAATTTTAAACAGTAACATGACTGGTGAAAAATATGGAAGTGTTCTCTGTGAGGCCATTGTTTTCGTGTGAAGAATTCCTGGAACAACTGCTGCATAATCTCTCGTTCACAAACACGAAAGTTTGTTTCAGGTTGAGATGCGTTTCATTCAGCGCAAGAGAATGTGCGTTTTGTGATGCGAACGAAGGCCTTCATTCCACCACTTTCTTTTACGGCCTTCTCATTCAGTGTTTTTTACAGATGCATCTTTTTTTTACCGCTTTCTAAAAGCAACTTTAAGAGCAGCCATCACCACACATCGAATGGGTTCCTATTGTGCAAAGGAATTCAACTCTGACTGATATCGTCAATGAAGCGTTGAACGAAGAGGATCGAATCTACACGGATCATCCACAAAACGATTATCTTTCACGTAAACAACAAAAATTGGCCAGAATCGGCAAAATGTTGAATGTACGACTTGAGATTGATTATTTCACCGATTTTTAGAGTGGCTTACAGTGAAAACTCATTGC